AATCTGACCCGTCCCATACTCTAAGGTACGGGCCGATTCCGATCAGAGAAGACCTGACGTTCATCGAGTAGCCAGTTGGGAAACTATATAGAAATGTGCAGGTATTGTGTAATAAGGAGATCCCTCTGATCCAGGTTTTATGGCAATACCATTCATGGGAAGAGTCGACCTGGGAGTGGGAAGATGAGATTCAGGATAAGTACCCCCAATTGTTTGATTAGAAGAAGTATGATTTTGAGGAAAAAAATCCTTCTTAAGGGGGGGTTGATGTAAGGACCTGCCGTGCGTGACGAAGGACGTGCCGTGAGTGATGAAGGAAGCCGTCATGCGTAACAAAGGAAGCCGCCGTGTATGACGAAGGAGGTCACCGCGCATGACGAATATGTTGCCGTGCGTGTCACCATGGTGCACAACACCGCGGTGCACGTCACCGCCATGCGCGATGCCTCCGTGCGCGATCCCGCTGTGGGTGTTGCCATCATGCGTGTTACCACCATGAGCGTTGCTACCAAGGAGTAAGTTGCCGTACGTGTTGCCACCATGCGCGTTACTGTCGTGAGCGTTACTGCCAAGGAGGAAGCCGTCGTGCGCGTTGCCGCTGAGAATGACACCGCCGTGAGCGTTGCTGCCGAGAGTGAATGTATATGGCTGTCTAGGGAACTTCTATGAGTGCCATGTGGCACATGTATGTCACTTGTATGCCACTAAATGCCACTTGTGTACCACTGTATGACACCTGTGTGCCCCATGCATGGCACATGCCTGTTGCCTCCCCCTCTTTGCTTATAAGTATCTCTCTTGACACCCCTCTCAAGAGTTTTTCTCTCTCACTCTCTCCCATGACCGCCCTTTCAAAACACTTAGAACCTCAAGCTTAAAACCATTTTGGAAGCTTGGCCTGTGTGGGGGAAAACTTGAAGTCTTTAGTGTATGTAAGTGGATTTAAGATCCCATGTTTCATGCCTTGTTTGATGCATGTTTAACTTACTTGTTTTAGCATGAAAATTGAGTAAGGATAAGTATATAATTGTGGAAAGATGCTTCTTAAATTTTGTTAAGTATGCACTCTGTTTTTTCAGGATTGTGACTCTCTTTTGAGTAATTGTTTATGCACTGAAATTACCTCTATTGATTATGAAATTTTGTGGGGAAGTACCCCTTTGAGTCTATTTTAAAAGGGAAAAGACCCCATATCAATATCTCTTTTTATTGGAAAGTTATGAGTTATTTTTTAAAACATGCCAGAATTGTGAAAAGAAATTCCAGAAACTCTATATGTTTTTGTATTGAACAGTTTATAAAAGAAATCATATTAGAATCAACTCAACCACTTTTAAATGAAAGATGAGCGAGTCTAATTTAAATATGGTCTTGGAATCAAAAGAAATTCCCTGTAGTTTAGAAATTATGCCCTTTTTTCTATAAAGATGTCACTATAGTGATAACAGGAAATTTTCCAAAAACTTGACATGTTTTTGTATTGAATGGTTTACTAACCAAATTATGTCATAATGAGTTTAAACTACTTCTAAAAGAATGATGCATGAATCTATTTTGAATATAGTCTGAGAAGTATGATCAAATTCTCTGTGATTCGAAAATTATGTTCATTTATCTACAAGGTTGCCACACTAGAATTTCTGCTAAATTTCCAGAACTATCACATGTTTTGTGTAGTATTGTTTACTGACCAAAATATCTTAGAATGAGACCAAACCACTTCTAAAAGAAAGATGAATGAGTCTATTTTTAAAATGGTTTTAGAACTATGACGAAATTTCTTATGGATTGAAAGTCATGCCCAATTTTTGGTAAGACTGTCACGTTGGAATATTTGCTCTGCTATTAAATAGTGAGTGCCTATGAATTATTGAATGTGAATGGTTCAAATAAGACATGCCTATGAATTATTGAATGTGCATGGTTGTAATAAGACATGCTTTGAAATATTGAATGTGCATGGTTGTAATAAAACATGCCTATGAATTATTGAATGTGCATGATAAGACATGCTTTGATATATTGAATGTGCATGGTTGTAATAAGACATGGCTATGAATTATTGAATGTGCATGGTTGTAATAAGACATGCTTTGAAATATTGAATGTGCATGGTTGAAATACGACATGCCACAGATGTGATATGAGGCACTACGCAACGGGCCATCTGCTGGTAGTTTAATGTGATATGATATGATATGAAAGTTATGCCAGCAATTGGGATCTTCCCTGATTCTCGATGATAGGAAGGGAGTTAAGATGTGAGTCATATGGGTAGGTCGCGCCCCCCAATATATGTATAAGTAGCACTATGCAATTGGTCATCAATTGGTGGTGTAACGCCCTCCAATAGAGAGTAAATGATGGTCGTATCTTGCAAGGCCACCACCTATCAAAAGCTCCAAAGTGCATTAGGGATTGTGTGTGTGTTTGTGTGAAGACATTACGAAATGGGTCATCCATTTATCATTCTCTTCCCTCTTGTATAATGGTAGAAATCATAAGCAATGTGATTGGCTTGGCTAGATTGATAGTGCTGCTACTTCGAGAATATATGATATTAGGATTGCCAGCAGTTATTATCTGTTTGCTTGAATTATTGATCTATTATTTCAATAGAAAGGTTTGATAGACTGTTAGCTCATGTGGTATCGGATATCTGATTTTTTCTTGCTCCATCAAGAAAGAAATTATTCACGGCACATTGATAATAAAAAGAATTGTTATGCATGACCCCCATGTTGCAAAACCTGCATAAATCTTGGGGACGGTTATGAATCATTGTGTAAAGGCATGAATGCATGGCGCTTTGATCTACTTATTGGGCTTCATAGCTCATTCTTTTGACTTTCTCCATTGTAGAGTAATAACTCGCGATTTGAGGACAAACGGGTGGGTGATCCCTGTGACGGTTAAAGCCCCGAACTTGGTGAGGAAGCTTCTGTTCGATTGTAGGTTTTAGATGGCAGTTTGGCCATATAGTTGTTTTTTTCAGTGTTATGTAATTTTGTTGGGCCTCTAGTGCCATAGACATATTTGTAATAATTTTGGAGCTCTTGTATATATTTTGGTTTTAGTTTGCCCAGCATTTGATGGTTGTGTTTGTAGTTTTGTTTTCTTTCATGGATTGCTTTGATTTTTTTTTTTCAAAAGCGTTGAGTGCACTCCCACCTGAGTGGCATTCACTACCTTTGGTCACAGTCTTGCACCCTGTTGCCCTCTAGCATGTACAGCAAGGGGGCAAGAGGGGGGGCTGTGACACGAGTACACAACAAATGTATTGCATCATAAGTGGCAGCAATTTGGATTACTGGAAGATGAAGAACTTGGAGTACGAACTGTGCCAATCCAATCACGATCAAACAACTTAGAAACAATTCCTTATTACTACAGATGCTATGATCCACTACAATATCCCTTACTATTCCCTTTTGGAGAATATGGATGGCAAAATAATAATTGAAGATACGAAATGATAAATTTGAGAAAAAACAATATGTTTTATTCAGAGAATATTACTGTTACAAGTTACAAATTCGACATCAGGAAATAAATTTTGCTAATACATGCAGGAAGGTTGTTCCAACAGTATATAATTGATATGTACATGAAAATTGAAACAAGAAAATTGAGATATTTAGCAAACAATCAAGATAAACTTAGAGTAGATAGGTACAAAGGATTGCATGATGTTGTGCTACATGGTGAATTTCGAGCATGTAATATTGGTCAAAAAATTATTTTACCATCATCTTTTATTGGAGGACCGAGAGACATGCAATCAAGATACCAAGATGCCATGGCTGTCATAAAAAATTTTGGAAAAACCAAATTTATTTATAACAATGACATGTAACCCTCAATGATGAGAAACAAAACAACTACTGAATAAAAATAATCCAACTTTTAATCGACTTGACTTAAGCACACTAGTATTTAGAGCAAAATTTCAAGAACTCAAACAAGCTATATTAGAAGAAAAGTATTTTGGAACAATTATTTCTCATGCTTATGTCATTGAATTCCAAAAATGAGGGTTGCCACATGCACATATACTACTAATTCTAAAAAATAATGACAAAATTAGTTCTAACGAATATGTTGACAAAATAGTCTTTGCTGAAATACCAAATAAAGAAATTCATCCTATTTTATATGAACGAGTCAAGAAACACATGATTCATGGGCTGTGAGGAATTCGAAAACGAAGAACATAATCCCTACAAAATAATGAATGTAAAAATCACTACCCAAGAAGTAATTTGGAAACAATATTATCATATGGAAACTTTCCAATGTACAAAAGGTCTAAACATTGTACCCCCTTTCTACCTGATGAGGAGACAATTGACAATAAATGGGTAGTTCCGTACTATCCAAATCTCCTATTAAAATATAATTGTCATATTAATGTAGAAATATGTTCCACCATCAAAGCTGTTATATATATATAT